AAAAAAAAAAAAAAAAAAAAAAACATGAATACTCTTACACAATCACATAGCTCCAATAATACAGTACACACCTCAAGAAAAGCCCATAACAAAAGGCATGCACCTGGAAACAAGGTAAGCAACAACCACATTTCGACCCAAATTCAATGTGTATTTACAATTGGATGAAAAATTTATGTAGACGCATTGTGGCATGAGGAAAAACATAAACCAGAATAAATGATTGATGGTTTATATTGTTATTTTGTTTCCCAAGAATCAGAAAAAAATATTAGATATAACATCAAGCACCCAGAGACTTGATGCCAGTGAAACTGATCGAGGATGAAAGTTCGTTGAGTTTCAAATGCTCATATGTATAACAGAAGTAATAATGTGTAGCACACTTATGATGGATATAAAAATAACACATGTAAACTCGTTAAAATATGGCATTGATGACATGAAACCCAAATATTACTGAAGTTACAACAAATTAATGGAAAGTGATAAAATACTATAACCAAAATGTATTAGTTAGGAAAACCCATAGCTTCTTTCTTATTCAGGCAAAAATGAAGAAATTACATATTGTACTTCCACCACCTCCCTCAAAACTATCCGTAAATTCTTTTCGTTATTTCATTAGAAACAATCTCGATTTTGCCTCCTTAGAGTAAAATTCTACCTTACAACATTTGGCGATTTCTTTCAATTAAAACAAAAGATCACTTGATTAGTTGATTGCACAATATACACACTTCCAAAATATGTATTAAGATCATCAGTGAAATCATGTGGTAGAATAGGTATTGAATAAGTATCATAAAAAAAAATACAAAAATAAAAAGATTGGGTAACACAAAACCGCAAGCTGAGGTTTCACATGTCACATTCCAATGCAAGAAGTCACCAGACCCTGCATTACCAATTCGACATCAACTAAAGAAAATCACAAACAACCTCAGACAATTAGCAAGACAAAAGACAAGCAGCAACCAAAAAGTTCATTACTATCAAGTGCCCTCACCTTTAGTTCCACTTACAACGGTGTTCGGCTCCAACTAACATTTGTTATTGTCATGAGTCACATGATGCGGATATCCATTATACTTATTCCCAGACCAATCCCTTTGCTGCTGCACCATGTTATTATACTGCTGCTGGTAATGATTATTATGTGAGTGGGCTGATTCATATCCATGGAACCCATGTCCATGTGCAGCCATGGGCATCATATGCATGGGCATAATATGTGGCGGCGGAGGATAAGGCATTGGGACCATCGGCATCCCGACATGATTATTCCCACTACCTCCATTACTATTACCATGGCTCCCACTAACAACCCCATTCCCATGGCTAGTCCCACCGCAAGACGACTCATTGAAGCTCTGTGGCGGCACAGGCGTCGAGGCAAACAACTGATCGGAGGGCGAGGGGCCCTCGGTGGACAAACCCTGCATCCTCTTCACATAGAGCCTATACTTCTGCAGATGGCTGGCCACATTCTCCCTGGTCAAACCCTCGACATTCATCAGCTGCATAATCGTCTTCGGCACCGCCTTGTTGAGGCCCAGGTGGGCCACCACATCCACGAAACGCTTGTGCAGCTGCGGCGTCCACACCAGCCGAGGCCTCTTCAGCGTCTTCGCCGACGTTGACTGGTCGTCGGCAAAGCCATCTGGGTCTTCGCCGGCGCGTTCCGACGTTCTCCGGCTCCTCTTCGGATCGGACCCTTCCTCCATCTCCGCCTCGTCCGCCGCGCCGCCGCCGCCTCCAAACGGCTTGAAATTGGAGCAGCGGGCGGCCCGGAGGGAGGAGACGGTGCTCTCGGAGGCGCGGCTGACATCAAACGCCGTCCGGGAGGGCTGCGGTGAGATCCTGAACGCCGACGCCAGCTCGGTGGGGATCAGCGACTGGGACAGGGGCGTCAGGTCGTCGGAGGACGGGAGGCCGGCCTCCCACTCGGAGACGCAGTCGTCGTCGATCTTCACTTCCTCACCCATGGAATTTTCACTCGAGGGATTCAAATCGCATGCAAATCGGATCGATTTACAGGGAGTTCCGATTTGACGGATAGAAGAAGCTGGAGATGGAGCAGAGGAGGTGAAATAGGAGAAAGAGGAGGTCGGAAAAGGTAATAATGATAAAATAAAGCGGTGGATATTATAATAAGAATACTTTTGGGTGTAAAAGTGCAATATGAGATTCCAAGTGGTGCGCCACGCTGGACACTTTAAGCAGATATTTTTTGATCTTTTGATAAATATCTATCTACCTGGATTTTTCCAATTTATATGCATATGTAGCAAATTTTGAAAGTGGTGTTGGAATATATGGATTATATTATATGAATTTTGATCTAATAGTTTATCTTCATATTTTTCTTAACAAAAATAATAATTATCTGAAATATGATACCTTTATTTTAATATCTAACTAGTACGTACCCCGTGCGATGCACGGGCTGTATTTATTTTGGTAAAATTTCTAATTGAAAGCTATTAATCAATAAGTTATAATACATAAAACATTGTTATTGAGCTAATAAAAAAACATAAACAATTATCAAAATATTGTGATTGAGCTAAAAAAAACGTAAACAATTATCAAAACAAAAATTCATTGCAATTTATTTACCTGCATATCATGGAAAAGTATTTCTAAATCGTTTTGGAATGATCTCTTGAAAATACGTATGGCTCTTAGCCTAAGATTGAAGCTCATATTAACTGTGAGTTGACTTATCAAGTCTAATTGCTCCATCACAATTTTTTTATTTTTTATTTTTTGATACGTGCAGAAGGATTTTTTTTTTCTCACGATATAAAATTTATTTGTGGAGTGATTGATTTTTGGGTTATTTATACTGATAGTAGATATCCAAAATATTATACGAAAAATTTATATTTAATAATATAATATACTATAATTTATTTGTAAAAGATATTACTTTCGAAATTTTTAATTAGGTAGATATCTAGATGAACATGGAAACATGTTTATCATAAGAATGTTTTTTTTTTCTTGAAACACGTATTTAAATTTCTAAATGGAAAGAGGTTTTATGTTTCAAGACTTTGATTTACTAATGGATTCTCTTCAACAAAAGAGATTTCAACGACCTTTATATTATATATCCTAACAAATTTTGACATTATCTTTCTGTTAGAAATATCCGATTATATTTTCTGATATTGAATAATTAGGATTATATTTTCTGATATTGAAAAATTCAGATTATATTTTATGATACAAAACTAAAAATATTTAATTTTTTGTTTCGGAGTATAACACCAAATATGCCTTAATTATTGTATTATATCAATTTTAATGCCTTTATTTTAAATATATTTAAATTATTGTATTATATCAATTTCACTTTGTTTAAAAAAATCATTTTATATATTCGAAACATTGAAATTGCTAATTCTAATATCGTGGGTATATTGAATAAAAATTAATCATAAAATTTTAATACCTTTATTTTAAATATATTTAAATTGTATTATATCAATTTCACGTTGTGAAAAAAAATTCAGATTATATCTTCCAAATTCAGATTAAAATAGTCGCATGTAATTACTTAATCGAATAATAAATGAACTAATATGAATTAAATGAAGTAATACGAAATTTATTACCAATAAATTTTAACAAATATCAAATACGCATAAAAAAGACATGGACTAAAAGTGTTGCCAATATTCAACATATCATAAATTAAAAAGTAAATAAATAATATTTGATGAAAAAACTAAGAAATACAGCCTTGACCATAATTTTTTCATAGCTAGTATTGAGGAAAATTCGATTTGTATTTGATCACGTCCGTACTTCCATGAATTCGAAGCTTCCAAGGTTTTGTTGTGATATCATTCCTCCCTCTATTATATTCAACATCGTAGTTGCGAATAACATATACCTCGCCTTGTTTAAGTAGAACTCGAAATCTGCTCATATGCGGTGAACGTATTATTCCTTTCATGTATGAACCCTACATATTTTAAATAAAAAAAAACATTAAAAAATCTCGAATATTTATTGAAATTTGATATTATATATTACAATAATTATATTATTGTTAAAATAGACAGAAATTATTACCCCTTCGTCATGGAACAGGATATGAAAAGCATTCCGATCCTCTTCACCATGATGAGTTTCAAGAAGTAGGACAACTCTCAACCTCAAATATGGTTTGTTGGTTCTGCTGACGGCGTCCAGTGTACCCCAGAATGGTTCCATAGAATAATGTTTGTGTTTTGTAATTTCTGTTATTGTAGTGTACGTGTTGATGAGGTGAAAAAATAATGTATCACTTTATAGCGTTTTATATTGTGTTTGTATGGTTATCTGAACGGAAATAAAGGAATCAAATTACCGAATTAGTTAGATAATTACCGGATTAGATTTGTGTGCATTTTATAAAGATTTTTTTTTAAAAACTTGCGTAGAGATAAGGGAATAAATTTGGTGTCGGATTTAATGGAAAGTTGTTAAGATGATAAAGGAATGAAATTAAGGATTTAAATAAAATGAAAAATGATAATTACCAAATAATCTGGCCAAATTTTATCTCATAATTGTTGAGATATTTAAGGTTATAAGTGATAAGATAATTATTTTCGGTCATTCTAAGTGATAAGGTAATTATTTTCGGTCTTTCAAATACTTTCCACAAATGGAAGGTGAATTTTTTTTAAAAAACTTTCCTTAAATGAATTAATTACCTCCTTCTTTCAATAATTATAGATATCTTAATTTTAAAACATGTATATATGGTGAAAAAATATGATTATCTGAAATAATTGATAGCTAATAGCGGATTGTAATAGCTGATTTGACTAGCGAAGTATATCAGTCATGGGTGGATCCAACAAATAGAATGAGGTGGGGCCAAATTTTTTTGTAATTGAAAGCCGATAAAAAAAATTGGCACAAAAATAAGACATACAAAATCACCATTATATATAAATCTTAATATTCCTTAAATAATTCAATATGAAATATTAAAATACCCCACTATTTGTATATTTCAGTATTATTATCCATTTTTTTCTTTTTTTTTTATGACATAACACTATCAATACAAAATTATTCATCTACCAATTGCAAACATTGTACATACGCAAACTCTATGCTGTTGGAGAATTCTGCAAGGGATTAATCAATCACATGTCATACAATTTATATGTCAATCTTAAAATATTAATACCGTAGTAGGTAAGAGAGCGATAATATTTTTCAATATATTGGATAGAAGAATTTGTATAACTCATCTCTTAGTTGATTTCATTTTTTACGCGAATTTTTTTTGGCAATAATTTTTCAATCTAACAATTATTGTAATAGTATGCAAAGTCATGATATATATTTTTACAAATACAGTGGATAAATAAAACGTAGCAATAAGAAAAATTAATATGAAAGAAAAAAAAAAAAAAAAAAAAAAAAAAAAAAAAAAAAACTACTTAATAAACAACTTTATTTATAAATTATTTTGTAAAATTACTCAATTTATACTTATATTTTCAAAAATCATGTAGTAAAAATATAAAATTCCAGGTGGGGCCTAGCCCTACCTGGAGGGACTATGGATCTGTCCCTGATATCAGTCGTGTGTAAATAAGTAAATAGCAGACTTCATAACTATTTTAAAAAAAAATATATGTTGACGTGTTATTATATGAATCCTCTTTTTTCTCAAAATGCTCATGTTGATCGCAAAATTTGATCAATCAAAGTATCAATTTAGTACTGGTAATTCAGTGATTAAGCAGTTCGAATTTCAGTTTTAAATGGTAGTCTTGCATAAAAACATGTAGAAAAGAGGTCGGGTGTTTCCAAACTTGAGGTCGGATATTCGCATTTTAATAGTGTATTAAATAATGGAATATATCTCTTGTGTACAAAGATTTTTTTACTCTTTCCCAAAGAATTTGTAGGACTATTTATAGTAAGTATGTTTCGGTTATTGTTCCTCAGACAGTACAATTGAGCATTAAATGGAAATGACATGCATTTAATGTTGCACATGTCCCTATAGTGCTTTATCAATAGGCAGACAGACTTTCTGTTAGGTTTGTCCCGTCATTCATGATGCGGGTGTAAGTTGCCATTATTCTAAGCTTTTTCTACCACTTGGCACGGGTCTTCGTGCAGTGATCTTTCTTGATTTAGCCAAGTCTTAAGCTCAGCCCTTCCGACCAGTAGTATTCCGACTGGGTTACTTGTTTGACGACCCGGTTGTACGATGTCGAATATGTCATGGTGTACTATTCATATGGTTTATCCTCCAATCAGGACCACTTTCAGGTCGAGCCTTCACTAGGTCATCTGAGGACTGAAGCTCGACTTGTGTGCGTATCGAATCTCCGTTAATCCGTGTAAGTCATCCGACCTGATCATGTTTGGTTCTCGGCTTGGTCGATGACAACCAACTATTCCTTCAAGCCAAACTCCTTTTAGATCGAGCTCGGCACCCGCTCGTCCTCATTCCTAATACTCATCTTTTCTTTGCGATTTTTCGACCCGAATTCCATACTTAGTGAATCATGTCTACTCAATTACATTAATCAACCTTGTATTTTTCTAGGTCAGCTCGGATGTCAACATACAGGCCCCCGAGATAGGAAGTTGCACTCCCAGACGTTACTTCTGAGGTCGTCAGTTCAGACATCTAAGTTAATCGAGAAACCGCCTCATCCACTCGCGCGGATATCAGAAAGGCGCGTTCTCTTGTATATTTAATGATGCATCTGACAGATTTTCCATTTATGGACATGTCTGTTCCTCAAAAGATGTGCCAATTTATTTTTGTGATGACGTGGCATCAATTTGATCGGTGATCGTGTTGCCTTAGAAACTTCCGTTGGGACCACTGTTTTCGCAAATGGTTACCCTAGGAACGTGGTGTCGATCCGTGTGGGATATTTTTCTCTATGAATTGGCGAGTTTTCCTTCGCTAGTAAAATTTTACTTTACAAACTTAACGCTTTCTTCTTTAGAATTTTTTTCTGTTTTCACCATTACTGCCTTGTTCTTTTCCCCCGACAATTTTGAGATTCCTGGTAAGATTATAATCTTTGTCCTTGTTCAATTATAATGTCTTCTTCTTTGCATCAAATCGTGGACTTTGAACTGGCCAGGGACGAAGGTGTGTCCCCGCCGATGACGATGACTGAGATGGTGGTGTTCTCGCCGCCCGAGGTGGCGGGAATTGAAACGGTGGACAACACGGCGATTTCGCCGCCCAGAGAACTTCTGGACTGGATTTAAACGAGGATATTGACATGGAACTCGGATCGCATTCCTCAACTTCACTATCTCGGCATCATTCATAACACTGACCGTGTTGCCCAAGGCCAAATGGCTTGTTCTCGGTCAAACTCTGTAAGGTCTTCTCCAAAACCGGTTTGGCACGACCGCAACCTTCTCCACAGCCCGGTCAACATGGCAATCACCACGCACTAGGGGCAATCTCTCACGGCTTCGGGTGTGCCCTTGGAGCATCTCCTCTACAAGGTGCTGACATCCGAGCTGAGCTAAGAAAATACAACTCGTACGTTGAGTTTTTTACCAAACGAGCTAGTTCGCAAAATTGACGAGTTAAACTTCTAAATGAGGTTCAATCTGCCTATTTTGAATCAATTCGCTAACATCCAAATAGGTCGATGAATAATATGACTAATTATATATTTAACAAAAATTGCTCACTTACACATTCACTTCATACTCACTGAGCAGAGCATATCATGTTTTTGTTATAGTGATTAAATGAATCGATTGGATCAAATATACAAGAAAGATAGCCTTCTTTTTAACTTCTATTGAAACATCAAATTGGAAGTGTTCATGTGCATTTTATTTTATTTTTCATTTTCAAATGATATATCAACCGAAACAAAAAGAAAAATGATACATAGACAACCTAGTATACAACTAGATTGACAACACAAGTGAGAACATCCACTTGTGTATTTTTTATTATTTTATGTATGTTTTTTACTTGTGTTGTCAACCTAGTTATACACTAAGTTGGCAATGTAGCATTACTAAAACAAAAATCTCTAAGGTTTTTCAGTCACTACCTCGATAATTATCTAAACATAAAAGCTTAACTAGCAATCGAGACTTATTTGAATACATAAAATAGATAAACAAAACAATTCGTACTTGAGAAGCAAAAGCAAGCAAATGCAGTAGCACATCAGAGCACAGAAGAAACTTTAGAGAGCCGAGAAAATGTATTATGGCCAAGAAAATCAAGATTACATTAAATGCATACAATATAACACCATAGCCCTCGGCCTCTCGCCACAAAACAACCGTCTCTCCATATGGCATATTGCAAGTCCATCGATCATTTTTTGTACAGTCATTCGTCATATGATAATAAAAACTACCTCAAACCTTAAATTATATTACACCCTCGTCGCCTTTTATCTCCTCTGCACGGGCAATCAGGAACGTTCGGCACACCTCTGAGCCTCAAAAGCTTTTACTACACTCTCTCTATGTATAAACTTGACAACTACACAATGTACAGGTTTTTTTGTTCAGTACAGGCAACAACTTTATTTGCAACCGAGCCCTCATACAGAGATCTGTATTGAGGCAAAGAGAAAACATAGAGTCTAGAGAAAGAAAGAGAATAAAGAGAGGTAGCCCAAACTAGCCTCGGTTAGCTGTACAACTTTCTTTCTTCCCTACAGCACGTAGTTTATGCAGATTGTTGAGTTTGAGCAGCAATTCTCCTTTCTGTCATCGAAGAAAAAACAGGAATTTTAGTTAATTAATGCCTGTTGCAAAAGTAAAGCAACATTATTGAAAAAGAAACGTGTCTATGTCCCTGCATCGTGACATGAAGCCATGAATTGCACAAAATATGAAAATACCGAATGGATTGTAAAAAAAGGGGCTAATTGTTCAGAGTGAACTTCCAAAAAAAGAGGAGACAAAAGATTCTGATCATAAAACAAAATCAGAGTAAGGCATGCTGAAATTTTCTGAACTCTTACGCTTGGATATAAGATGTTTTGATTTCATTTGGATTTTCTAATCTTGTTTGGTTAATTTTGAAAAAAGTGGTATAAATAGATGTTAGTGGGATTTTGAGATTATATTAAAAATTAGTATTTAAAATAAAATAATTAAAGCTGATTCGATGTAAAAGTAGGAGAGATGATGTGAGGTGATATTTAGTTAAAACTATACGAGTGGATGAATTGTGAGTGATAATCATTTAATTATATTGATAATAAAGAATAGCAGGATTGAGTTAAAGTTGAGCTTGATTTGACCAAAAAAAATAAAAACTAGTTGGTTAAAAATGATTGGATTTTTTTTTTTTTTTTGAGAAAAATTGGTATCCAAGCATGCACTTAAGAGTTGAGTTCAGTGAATTCATGTTGGATTCAAGAAAAAAATCAAAAAAAAAAACAAGAAAAAAAAAAAAACAAGAAGCTGAGATGTGCATACCCCCGGCAGCCACAAGTTTCTCTACACGAGCTACTATATGCTTTCCATATGTGTATTTCTTCAGTGCATTCAGATGAACTTTAATTCTTGTCATGATGAGCTCACGTTGCTGATCACTACACGTCTCGAGCACTTTCTGTACAACGTAATTTGCAAACTGGTCTTTCATCATAGCCTGAATTGGTTGAACGAAAAGAAAGACCAATATAAGTCCCGTAAAACACAATAAATATGTACACAAATGTACTTTTAACTAATCGAGTAAAAGACTATCATAGTGGTGACATTAGAAAGACCAAAAGACAAAAAAATAAATAAAAATTGAAAAATTGCATAAAAACCTGAAGAGGCTCATTTTCATCAGTTGTTCCAAGCATCTCGTTCACCAACAGCTGGCGTTCACTCGGATCGCCAAAGGTTAAGCATTTCTCAACAACATTTGAAGCAAATTTCTGCTGGCTCATTTGAACTATCTTTCCGGCTAATTCTTGAATTATGGCAGATCGCTCATGAGGCTTCCCGTGCTCCAGGACATGCTATAGCAATTTACCAGAATATATCAAGCTTCATAATAAGGCAAATAAGGCCTAATGATCAAGCACGAAGCATTACTATATTTATATAGCTCTGTAGAGATTAAGCAGATATTCACTTCCGGTAACTTTTTTTTGTGAATAAAAAGATTTGAATAAAGTCCGAACATAAGATATGTACTTCATACCTCAATTACCCAATTTTATCACAAAATTCAATTTAATTTAGTTTTTCACAATCTATATATTTAAATATCCAATTTTTGGATGTGAAATTCAAAGGTCAAAGTCCAGCATATCAAGACTAATTATGTATTTTGTCGAACACAATAAGAGACATGTTAAAAGTAGAGTTGTCAAGTGGTGCTTAGAATGTGAAACACTTAGCCAATTGCAAACAAAATATCAAAATTATCAAGTATTAAAAACATGTAACAAACCTGAACAACATAGTTTCCATACTGATCCTGTGCCAACATACTTACAGCACCCAAAATCTCTTCCATCGCTTTACTCTGCGTTTTTTCATCTTTACAATGCTCCAGAACTCGCTATTCAAAGTGAATTGTAAGACAATCACATTGGTAATTAATTTGGAGGTGTTACCAGAAAATATATTTGAAAGCTATTTATTCTACTATTTTTATAGCTAACCTGAATCACACGACAGCCATATGGATGAGTAGAGAGAGTCACAACTTGGTCAAAAAACGTAGAAACAATGAACTGAATATGATCTTCAGGAACACACTCAATGCATTTTTGGATTACATGATTCCCGTTTTGATCACGAACACAACGCATGACATGTCCATCGAGCTCTTCTACCATTTTGATCTTTTGATCCACATCAACTACTTCTATAGCCTACATAATCAGATAGCATTTAAAATTCATCGAATATATAAAGAGAGTAATAGATATTTTATGTATTATAGACCCCCGTGATTTAATTCAGAGACCAACGTGTTTTTCCTCTTTAGACTAAGTTCAAAAATCCAAATATAATGTTACCTTCTGTATCACTCTGCAACCATACATTTGGAGGCTAAGGTTAAGTACATGTCCAAAGAGCTTCCCAGCCAGTTCTCTTCTTTGAGCCGCCATTCCATGCTCAAAAAACTGAAAACACGATATTTAAAACCAAATACAGACTAAAGTAGCCTTAAAAACTCCAACTAAGTAAAACCAGACCCATACAGATATTGATTGATACCTTTTGGATTACATAATTTCCGAATACATCGGTCATTAACGCAAGTGCCTGAGGAAATATTTCCTGGAAAACCATGTTCTTCTCTTCTGTTGTGGCAGTTTCAAGCTTTTGTTGAATGAATCGGCTTCCATATTGATCAGCGCTAATTATACAGATGCAATCAAGATTTCACAAGTCATATATAGCAATCTTAAGAAGGTGCATGGCTCTATAACAACGCCAAAAAAAATAAAAATAAATACCTGAACTCAACAACATGGCCAGCAATCTCCATTAGTTCAAAACATTTTGTTTTATTGTTTTTGAACTCTTCCAGCAATGAAGAAGCAAAAGTGTTCTCCATACCGTCCAAATGCCACGGCCCAATAACACTCCCAGCAACATTTCGCATACCACCAGGGAATCTCATATTGAAGTCACCATGCCTTAATGGGCTACCGGGCCCACCACCTGAACCCTGCATAACCGGGCTTGCCATTGGGCTCCCTGGATAAGACAAACCAATCCCGAAAGCAGGATTCGCATAGTAACCATGAGGACTAGACGTACCGCCTGTCTTGCTGCCCAAAGGAGCACCGTACTGTGATTTCTGAGGAGAGGAAAGTAAATTCCCAAGATAGGCTTTCTGAATAAGGTCCATGTACGAATTACCCATATAGTTTCTATCCAAAGAAGGATCGTTAAGAGCCGCTACTTGAGCTGCGGCCGCATATTCAGCTGTCCTCAAGTACTGCAGATATAACGGGTCCACGTAAGGGGAGTGTTGATTACTCAATCTACCGAGGCTATGATCTGCTGCAGCAGCCCCCAGATTCGAGCCACCTAAAATCCTCGAGTCCATTCCGGGCACACCCATAGCAGATGCTGCAGCAGCATTCTCGAACAAAGGTGGCAAATTAGAACTGCCGAGTTGACCCGAAATCGGGCTCATTGGGTACCCTCCGCCCATTCCATAATTCGAGAATGATGAGCTGTTGGGACTGTCCAAATGCTGCTGATAGTGAGATCCTTTAAGGTACAAGTTATTAGAAGGGACCCCGTTCCTCTGCAGCTCGGCTTGCTGAGAGGAAGAAGACATGTTGAACTGCATATTATCATTCTTTTTCATATAAGCGTGTTGCCTAAAGTTACTATTTTTGCCTCCCTGGAGATTATTATAAAGAAGATAATTTTTACGATCATCGCCATCTGGCGAAACCCGGGACGGCAGATGATTATTCTCCTCATCGATAATGCCGTTAGAAAGGTTCATGCCCGATAATGCAGAAACGAGATCTACATTCTCGTTAGAATGAGAAGAAGTAGCATTGAATGAGCTGGGACTGTTTAAGCTTCTTTTTTCATGATTTGTTGATCTGCCTCCACCAATAGGAGTTGGGCAGGGACTGGGGGCTCGAGTGATACGTTGAGGATCAGGAGTCGTGCTTCTTGATAAGGTACCACCCAAAGCAGCAGCATAAGAATACGAAGAAGGTGCAGCAGCAGACGAGCTCTGAATGCTCTGAGTTGAACGCAAGTTGGCCAGCTCAGCCTCCACAGAGCCCATAGCACCGGCATTTTCATCGAAAGCATTCCGGCTTGCCGGGCGTGATGGATGGCCAGAGGCTGGAGTGGAACGGTTCAGATCATCCTGAACATATATGAAGCATTTTTATAAACGTAATAAAACGGGTGCTCAGCAAAAATTAACATAAAATTTCGGTCAACATCCATCGACCTTATAGGATTGGAATGAAAGAAAGTTAAAATCTTCAATAAAATCTACATCAGACCGAAACCAAGTACACAACTGCCATAGAGAAAGCTGCAAAAGGGTCAACTTTAATGACACATGACCAAACAAATATTACTTAAACGGAAAATGAATGGTATTCAATTATCAATCCCAAAGACAGAAAGAATTGTATCAGTGTAAAAGCAAAAGTTTCCTGTATACATCTAAGAATTTCACAAACTAATAAAGAGATACTTTCATATGCATAAAATTTAAATTCCAAACAAGCAAGAAATAATAAAAGAAACTAGAAACAGATTGACGCATCTATCTCAACTCTCCAGGCATCTGGATGTTCATTACACATACTTGTAGATATAAACTGCTAATAAGACAGGCGTATAAAGTGGATCAGATAAATAAAAAGAACAATTACAATGTCTAGCCTATATGATAAATGACAAAACTAATGTTTCTTATTCAATATCAATACAACAAAAAAAGAGCGAAAATATGCACCATTTTACAAGATTCCACTTATACTATTAATAGCAAAACAATCACAATTCTTTTAGCCAACAAGAAATTTTTTAAATTTCTATCCTTTCAATTCAGAAGGGTGATAAACCAATGTCTTCTCAATATTGAGATTATAATGAACACTTATGGGTGCCCTTGGTAAAAAATGAGATAGTCCAGATTCAAAAATTGCACGACAATACATGCATACATACAACAACAAACATAAAAAGAAAGAAACCACACAGAATTACACAGACAAATACCTAAAAGACCTGCAACCATAACACATAGTTGTCAATAGCACTCCATGTAAGGTAATACCAAATTACAACTCGGTAAGAAATAAATGCTCAAATAAGTGAAAACACTATCAACATGAGAAACTAAAAAAAAAAAAGGAAAAAAGGCAGCAACCTGAAATATCTCTGCAATACTCTTCTGCTTGCTACCCAGCCCCAATCCAGGCAGCCCAATAAGCCCATCACCACCCCACTCCACAGTACCACCATGCAATTTATCCTCATCTTCACTCTCTTGCTTCTTAGAATTAAAACCGGGTGGATTTGAGAACATTGAACGCCCACCATTGCCACTATCATTCCTATTCACCTTCCTCCTGTCCCCAATTGCCGAGCTCCCTCCCTGTAACCTCTGAGCAAACCTCCAATCCTCCCTAGACAGCAAAGGAGGGGGCAACCTGGGATTTAGATTAACATTCGAGTAATAATAAGACAGATACTTGGGATCGGACCTAAGCTCCTCCTCAGACGAGAAGCCATTGCCATTCTTATTTCTGGCAAACTCAGCAAAAGCCTGGCCAATCCCAGCCCCACCATTATTTCCACCTTCAGTGCCTCCATGATTGAACAAACCGCCGACAGCATTCAAAGAACCCTCCACAGTAGGTGGGGCAGATCCACTTCTGTACAAACTCAGCTCTTTTTCAAGTTCATCAGCATCTTGCCTTCTCTGCTCACGAAGGAGCAAACCCATCTCCTTCTCAAATTCATCCCCAAAGGAATTATCATTATCACCAATCATCGGCATCCTACCCAATTCAGACAACATGATTCTCAACAAAAAATAAAATATTCCGAAAGAACGAAAAAAGACAAAAAAAAAAGAAAAAAAAAAGAAACCCTCCCGAGTTAGTTACGACTGCTCATTCCATCACAAAAAGAAATGGTAACAACTAATATCACAAACAGTAACCGACCTCACAAACCCTAAGAAAGCTACCACGACCGATACCTCACCAATCCAACGGAACCCATTTTAGGCAAACATTAAAAATCAAAGCTTTTCAAGCTCACAAAAAAAATCCAACCTTAGACCAAAACAAAGTACCGAGGATAGCTCAGTTCCTGCAGATGAATAAAAAAACAGTCAAAAGGGTATGATCAGGCACAAACGAAAACCCAGTTTTCACCACATGTCGAGTGACGCTCGACCTAAAAGATTGAGTCTTGGCAAAAGGGCCATGCTCAAATTTTCAGTGAGCAATCATACTGTTGTGATTCATCAATAAAGCCAAAGGGACGACGAGTTTGGAAGAGGGGGTGGGTTTGTGTAAGAAAAGACTGAGTGAGATAAAAAGGGTCACAAAGTTAAATAAGAGAAATTATCATTCTGGCGGCGAATCGTTCTCGCAAAGAACCCCTTTTAGGGTTTTGTTTTCTCAACAACTACTGTTGGAAAGGAGAGAAGATTTGGTGATAAATACAGTGGACTGAATTTAATTTTTTAAGTTACTATATATAATTATATATATATATATATATATATTTTCTTCCTAAAAAAATATGCTTTCAATTATTTTGTGGGGGGGGTGTTTTTAATTTTCAAAACAAACAATTTTGCCTTAACAATAGGGGACTAATTGACCATTCAATGGCTGACAAAGACTTTTTTTTTCACAATTTGTTGTGTTTTCATGGACTAATTGTTACAGAAATTATATGGTGTCACATGTGGCATCATATTATGGTTATGATTAGTGCTACACTATCACACATCATGTTGTGGCACCAATTATAATGTGCCACATCATCACATGTTATCCATAATTTTTAAATAAAAATACATATTTGTTTATATGATCAAACATCATACTTCTTTTGAAACATGAAATTTAAATATAAAAATATGCATATTCGTTGATAAAATGTAATTACATGACTTGTCTATCTAGACATGGCCAAGGGCTGCTTGGCCCGCCGATGTGGAACGGACTCGGCTCGGTCAAACCCGTTGACCACGGGTTCGAGACCGGATCGAATTTCAGACAGGTCGTTTCAGAGTCATCAATTTCATGACCCGGCCCGGGCGCGATGGCCCGCTTTTTTTATTTTGTTATTATTTTTTTCTATTGTTTTTTTAAAAAAATGACGGACCCGGCCCGATCAATCGGGGCCATTGACCCGGAACGAGTATAGGTCTGTGCCGGGTCCGGGTCAGTGTTTTGGAGCCTGGTGGACCGGTGGGCCGAGCTGAGCCGTGACCCAGTTTGGGTTTTGGCCATGTCTATGTCTATTAGTAGGGTTACTCTCTTTCATGTGATTTATTAGAAGATGAGGATAATTAATTAGTAAAAATAATAAATTTAATATGTTTTGAGAGAAAAAAATATATGCTTTTCAATTACTTTTGTGAGTGTTTTTAATTGTCCAAACAAACAATTTTTCCTTAACAATAAGGGACTAAATGACCATTGAATGGGTGACCAATACTATCTTTTTTTCACAATTTTTTTGTGACGCCGACCTAATTTTTAAGCATTTTTTTTACCAATGCATATTTATGTTATCAAATGTTATACATTTTTATGTTTGATTTTTTAAAATTATGATATTTTAATTTAAAACTATGCATGTTGGTTAATAAATGTGACTAAATAACTGTAACAGTAGTCTTATTGTACTAGTACAACGCCCGTGTATTACACGGGTGCTTGCTAATTTTTTCTTAAAATCTA